CACTCCCCCTCAAGTTGGATTGTAGATATTGATCAAATCCAACTTGCTAATGAAATTGTTGAAAGTTTGTTGAGACAATCATTTGGTCAGGATATCTGCCGTTTGCTCATTTGTTGGGACATACACCATACAAATGACTCCATCTTCAACCTTTTCTTTGATGAAATGTCTATCAATCTCCACATGTTCTGTTCTCTCATGTTGGACTGGATTAAGTGAAATGTTGATGACTACTTTATTATCACAATAGAGTTTTATAGGTAATTTTATTACAACCTTCAATTCCTCCAAGAGTTTCTTTAACCATAGTCTTTCACATATCCCCTGTGCAGTTGCTCAAAATTCTTCTTCGGCACTTCTTCTTGCCACTACATTTTGTTTTTTATTTCTCCAAGTTACCAAATTGCCTCATACAAAGGTACAATATCTTGACGTTGATCTCTTGTCTTCTATTGATCCTGCCCAATCAGCATCTGTAAAATATTTCTACTTTTTTTCATCCTTCTTGAAAAATAATCTCTTTCCGGAGGTGCCTTTTAGACACCTAAGAATTTTGTACACTGCTTCTAGGTCAGTTTCCTTCGGTGAGTGCATGTGTTGACTTTCAACGCTGACTGCAAACGCAATGTCTGGTCTCGTATGTGATAGGTAGATTAATTTACCAACCAGTCGTTGGTATCTCTTTCTCTCAACAGTTCCCTGTCTCATATGTTCTTTTCCCACAATCTATGGGTGTGTTGCTTGGTTTGCACCCAAGCATGTCGGTTTCGGTCAACAGATCGAGAATGTATTTCCGTTGTGATATACCGATACCCCTCTTTGATCTCGCGACCTCCATACCTAAGAAGTACCGTATCTGACCTAGGTCTTTTACTTCAAATTCGGAGGCAAGGCTTTTCTTTAGTCTGTCCATCTCAGTTACGTTGTCTCCCGTGAGGATTATATCGTCTACATACACAATTAGAATTGTTATTTTTCCTTCTTCAGATTGTCAAAAAAACAAAGTTGATCTGACTGCCCTTGTTGATATCCTTGATTCCTGAGTACCTTTACAAATCTGTCAAACTGGGCTCTTGGTGATTATTTAAAACCATATAATGACTTCTTGAGTTTGCATACCCAGTCTTTTCCACCCTCATTATTGAACCCAGGTGGTACTGTCATAAAGACTTTCTCTTCCAATTCACCATTCAAAAATGCATTATTAATATCAAGTTGCTGGGGGGGCTAATCCAAGTTGGCTGCTAGAGATAGGAGAACACGAACTGTATTTAGTTTCGCCACCGGTGCAAATGTCTCCAAGTAGTCAATGTCATATGTCTGTGTGTATCCTTAGGCTACTAGTCGAGCTTTATATCGTTCTATTGTCCCATCAGCTTTATACTTCACATTAAAAACCCATTTACATCCAACTCGTCTTTTACCTTTAGGTAACTTCACCAAATCCCAGGTTTCATTTTTTTCCAATGCCTGCATTTCTTCCATAACAGTTTCTTTCCATTTGGGAACTTCTAAGGCCTCTTGAATATTCCTTGGGATTTCTGTATAATTTTGTAGGTAGTGTTATAAGACACAAATTTAGAAATATGGTGGAGAGTATATAACCGAGTTTGTTTTCTAAGAGC